TGTAGTATTACTGTATCTAGTACTTAATGGGTGTAGTATTACTGTAGCTAGTATTTGAATGGGTGTCGTGTTACTGTAGTTAGTTTTTTATGGGTAAAGTATTACTGTATGTAGAACTGGATGGATGTAGTGTTACTGTAGGTAGTCTTTAGGCCAAGTATCATTGTAGGTAGTCTTGATGAGTGTATTGTGTCAGTAACTAGTACACTACGGTTGACAACTACCGGCATGTGTGAGTGCAGAACTCGGGCAAAGGCAATTCGCAAATCCAGACTTGGTGATACCTATCGGCACCCGTTTTATTGAATATGTAGGTAGTCATAAGACAATAACAGCGGTAGTCCCAAATAGTTCGATACCTCAGTCAAGCCATACGGTTCAAGCAGCTTGGAAACCGATTCTTACGACGGGAGTCTCGAGACATGTGTTGTACATAGCACTCAACTCAAGGACATACACCTTCATTACGCACACGGTCACAGACACCCACGGCGAAGGCCAAGCGGGACGGTACACTCAAATCAGCCAAGACGCTCGCCAGAACAAACCTGAGGAAAGCCTATGGCAAACTGGGCAAAACCCCAGGCAAGGCACGGGCACGGGTGCAACACCTAATCCAACCCAAGAAGGTTGGACAGTTCATTGCACCTGCACCTGGAAAGTACAAGGAGGTCCGGGACAGGCCTGCACCCGTGCATGTCCGATTTGCCGAGACAAATGTGGTACACAGTATCCCTGCGACCGGAAAGGCCGCTAAGATATCAATACCGGCCATCGCGGCCCAACAGAAACAGGGCAAATTAGGCCCAAAAGCAGTGGACCTGAGTACGGTAGTCCTGGGCTCGTTTGATCCATGGGTCTTCAGTCGCGACGTGCACGCAGCCGAGGACAGGGGTAGTCAGAAGGCGGGAGACAAAGCAAGGAACGTTAATGATGAGGATACAAGTGACAGTAGCAGTGACGCGGATAGTGACGACGAACGTTTTGCACTGCTGCCGGCGTTTCCGATCATGCAGCAGTTGACTCTTCCCAAGATGGTATAGTTGCGTGTGTTGGGGTATCTGAGTGAATGCAGACAATGTGTATGTGTATATGTATGTTAATGTGTATGTGTATATGTATGTGTACGTGTATGTGTATGTGTATGTGTGCGTGTATGTGTATGTGTATGTGTATGTGTATGTGTATGTGTATGTGTATGTGTATGTGTATGTGTATGTGTATGTGTATGTGTATGTGTATGTGTATGTGTATGTGTATGTGTATGTGTATGTGTATGTGTATGTGTATGTGTATGTTATGTGCATGTGTATGTCTATATGTATGTGTATGTGTATGTGTATGTTTATGTGTATGTGTATGTGTATGTCTATATGTATATGTATGTGTATGTTTATGTGTATGCGTATGTGTATGTGTATGTCTATATGGATATGTATGTGTATATTTATGTGTATGTGTATGTGTATGTGTAGTGTATGTGTATGTATATACACATGTCTATATACAAATGCATGTATGTTTATGTATATGTGTAGATATGTGTCGAATCATCCAGAGTGTTGATTATACGCACAAACCTACTAAGGAAACATGCTGAATATTGGATTAGCTTGTAGATCATCTATATATAGATATATCACTCTATGAACCTCTCTGTACACATAGATGTATGATTACATGTTTGTCATGTGTTCATGTATTTCTCCCTTCCGTTCTCGCCACACAGCCCAGCCTATCCACAACTCAAGACACCCAATACGACGCGCTGCTCAAGTCTGAAGGGGAGGATTCAGAACTCATTGGTTGCTATGACAACCTGCTGAAGCAATTCCCTGCGCGTACAGAAGATGGCCGGGACGAGAGTGGTTCTGTGGTGTGGGTGCCGAAGGGCCATACAACTACTATGAAGAAACAACCCCTCACCAAAGAACAGGCCAAGCTCGAGCTGGAAAAGTACGCCGACGCATTCCGAGACGCGGATTTCAGAAGCGGGACGGACAGTGATAGCGACAGTGGCAATGGCAGTGACAGTGATAGTGATAGTGACAGTGATATTGGTAGTAATGATGGCTTGGGAAAGGCTGGTATTGGTACCATGCTTGATCGAGACAGGGAGAATGCACGCGTGTTCGCACAGGCCAAGGCGTATGAGAGCGGGCAGCAACGATCTGCACGACAGAGGAAGGATGAAGATGAAGATGAACATGGAGACGAAGATGAAGACGAAGATGATGATGGAGATGAAGATGAAGATGCGTATGAAGATGCGTATGAAGATGTGGCTGATGATGGCGGGTATGCTACCATTGAGGAGAGTGCGCATGAGGGCGTGCGCAGGGCTGCATTACGCACAGCCCAGGCCATTCTGGAGAGCGGCAGGAAACGTCCACGAGCAAGCACCAGCGAGTCGGAATCCGAGGCGGAGTCCGAGGCGGAGTCTAAGGGGGGTGGCCCTAAAGGGGGTGGCTCTAAGGGACAGGGCCAGCCCGACGAAGATGAGACACCACTCTCACCCGAAGTGGTAGACTCGATAGAAGGTGTGTGTGTTTTGTGTGCGTGTTTGTGTGCGAGTGTATGGGCGTGTGTATGTATGTGTGTGGGTGTGGGTGTTTGCCACAGACGACTCATGTGTTTGGCGCCAATAGGGGTTTGTATGAGTTCTATTTATAGAGCATTTCTTATGTGGTTGCTATGCAGAGATTGTGAGTAGCTCGTAGTTGCGTATACTGTGCATGTTCACTGTATGATCGATTTAGGCGCACTATATATGGAGAACTATACACACGTCTACGTTTGCACACAAGACAGTGACTTCGTCTATATCAGCATATACATGCTATACGTATACGCATATACATGCTATACGTATACGCAAATAGAGGCTGCACGTATGCGCAAATACATGCTATACATATACGCAGATAAATGCTGCACGTAAGCGGATATACATGCTCGTATACGTATGTAGAAGCTGCACGTATATGTATATAAAAGCTGCACGTATGCGGAAATGGAAGCTGTACATATATGCATATAGAAGCTGTTTACATGCGTATATAAAAGCTGTACGTATGTGCATATAAAAGCTGTACGTATACGCATATAAAAGCTGTACGTATACGCATATAAAAGCTGTACGTATACGCATATAAAAGCTGTACGTGTACGCATATACAGGCTTTAAGTATACGTAGAAAAGCTGTACGTATGCGGATATACACACTATGCGTAAACGCATATAAAAGCTGTACGTATGCGCATATACATGCTATACGTATACGTATAAAAGCTGTACGTTTATGCATATAAAAGTTGTACATATGCGGATATAGAAGCAGTACGTACATGCATGTGAAATCAGTACGTATACGCGTATAAAAGCTGTACGTATGTGCATATATACACTATACATACACGTCTCACAAGCATAAGTGTACCCTAAATAACGCGGTATTGGGGCACCGTCCATTACAGTTGGCTGCCGCAGCCCCCTCCAGCCCACAATCCTATCAACTCAGACCAGACACCCCTGCCACGCTAATCAATCAATAATCGTTCAGTACACACGTGAACATAGAAACATAGCTTGTACCTGACCACATGCAAGTACGCGTCGAATACACACACAGCGCTGCCTTCGTACCCGCAAGTATGCGGCAAACGGCTGCGGTTTGGCGAGGGCGGTGATGCCGTGGAAGCTTACAACGAGCCTAAGCCAGTCAACCCATTTGGAGAGGACAACCAGAAGTACTGGCACCAGAGGTGTGTGCAAAGGCGATAGGGTGTGTGTGGAGGTATATGGGAGGTATTGTAGGGTGTATTGTAAGGGGTATTGTCTGTGTAGGTATAAGCCGTGGACGACATGCGTACAAGAAATCACTTGTATTTCGGGTGTATGTATATGTTTAAGAGCTACATCTTTTCAGTAGGCAAGCGTGAATGAAGGCGGCCTGGTGCCATGTCATGTACGAGTGCCCTGCAGTGAACAACTTTCAATGCATGCACGTATTGCATGTAGCCTGCGGGCCTGCAAATTGGACCGGGAGGTCAACAGGCCCTAAAACTAGGGATTAGGGGCAGTAGGAAGATCATGGATGAGACACACACACAGGTTATGGGCATGTGTGTGTGCATGTGTGTGTGCTGGAGCATCGCTGTATTCAACTCAGTATAAGTATAGACAGTCTAGCTGTAGTCCTCTCAGTATAAGTACAAACAGTCTAGCTGTAGTCAACTCAGTATAAGTACAAACAGTCTAGCTGTAGTAAACTCAGTACAAGTACGAACAGTCTAGCTGTAGTCAGCTCAGTATAAGTACAAACAGTCTAACTGTAGTCAACTCAATATAAGTACAAACAGTCTAGCTGTAGTCAACTCAGTATAAGTACAAACAGTCTAGTGTAGTGAACTCAGTACAAGGGCAAACAGTCTAGCGGGCGAATGTGTACTCGTCAGCACACACAGTGGCCGCAGATATGTATATGTGTATATGCATCAATAGAAACATCTCATTGCGTGCAGATAGGAGTTGTGAGTGTAGCTACGTGTATTTACCCATAGCAACATGTCATTATATGCAGATACAAGCTGTGAGTGTAGCCACGTGTATTTACCCATAGCAACATGTCATTATATGCAGATACAAGCTGTGAGTGGAGCTACGTGTATTTACCCATAGCAAAATGTCATTATATGCAGATACAAGCTGTGAGTGGAGCTACGTGTATTTACTCATAGCAACATATCATTATATGCTGATACAAGCTGTGAGTGTAGCTACGTGTATTTACCCATAGCAACATGTCATTATATGCAGATACAAGCTGTTCAGTAAGTTTGACCATGGGGTGTGGATGGATAAGGAGGGCTGGTTCAGCGTAACACCTGAGGCTCTGGCGGAAGAGATTGCGCAGCGCTGCGCTGTGGAGGGTGTCAAAGTGGTGATTGACGCCTTCTGTGGGGTAGGAGGCAACACTATACAGGTGTGTGTGCGTATATATATATATATATATATATATATAAGTGTGTGTATGTGTTTAGGTGTAAGTGGAGAGAGAGTGTGTGTATGTGTGTAGGTGTAAGTGGATTGTGAGTGTGAGTGTGTGTGTAGGTGTAAATGGAGTGTGTTTGTGTGTGTGTGTTGGTGTAAGTGGAGTGTGTGTATATGGGCATATGCCAACACATGCATGCATGAATGTATGTATGGATTAAAGTCGCACATTTGAACCCATATATACGTGCATGTATGAATGGTTGTACATTTAGAAAAAAACAAGTAAATGTCTGTTATATTTTGCTGAGGACGAGGGCGTGCGAATGACGTTTGGTGAGTATGTGGTTTTATGAGTCGAATCCATCCAGGACGGTTTAGGGTGTAGGGTTTAAGGTTTTATAATAAATCTGAGTCGTGTGCACGTGTTGGGTTCCTAGCCATCGGTTTAGGGTCATTGCACACCCATTGCTATTCGGCTAAATGCACCCTGAGCTGGAAGAAATAGATATACACACTCACTCGCATCCTTAATGACAAGGTCATGGTATAGTCATTAAGGTCATGGTAAATAATACACACACACTCACATCCTTATTGACAAGGTCATGGTATATAATACACACTCACTCACATCCTTATTGACAAGGTCATGGTTATATAATATGCACTCACTCATACATCCTTATTGACAAGGTCATGGTTATATAATATACACGCACTCATACATCCTTATTGACAAGGTCAATGGTTATATAATACACACTTCTTCATACATCCTTATTGACAAGGTCAATGGTTATATAATATACACTCACTCTTACATCCTTATTGACAAGGTCATGGTTATATAATATACACTCACTAATACATCCTTATTGACAAGGTCAATGGTTATATAGTATACATTCACTCATACATCCTTATTGACAAGGTCATGATTATATAATACACGCTCACTCATACATCCTTATTTCGTACCGAACAGTTTGCCAAGATGTGTGATAAAGTCATTGCCATAGATATAGACCCTGTTCGGCTCGAATGCACGAAACAGAACGCGCGCATCTATGGAGTGGAGGACAAAATCGTTTACATCCACGGAGACTTCATGCAACTGGCCCCTTACTTGAAGGTATGGTACATGTACCTACTTAGAGGTATGTTACATACATTTACCTACTTAAAGGTATTTTATATACATTTACCTGCTTAAAGTTATGGGATATTTATTTACCTACTTAAAATGTGTTACATACATTTACCTACGTAAAGTTATGGTACATGCATATACCTACTTAAAACGTGTTACATATATTTACCTACTTAAAGGTACTTTGCATACATTTACCTACTTAAAGGTGCAGTCATGCATTTACGTACTTATAACGTGTTACATACATTTACCCACTTGAAGGTATTGTATCCCAACTGAGCTTCTCCCGCCATCAACACCCACCATACGCTCGCTCTGTCATATATCTATTAATAGAACTGCCTCATACGTATCTAGGCAGATGCAGTGTTCCTGAGTCCGCCCTGGGGTGGGCCGGATTATCTCAAAGCCGAAGTGTTTGATGTGAAGACAATGATGAGCCCAGACGGCTACGACATCTTCCGCCTGGCCCAGCTGATCACACCCAACATAGCCTACTTTGTACCACGCAACTGTAACCTCGAGCAGGTATGTTATAGGTCGTGTCATGTATGTTATAGGTCGCATGTATGTTTTAGGTTATGTTATGTGTGTTGTATGTTGTGTCATGTATGTTATAGGTTGTGTTGTGTATGTTGTATGTTGTGTCATGTATGTTATAGGTTGTGTTATGCATGTTGTATGTTGTGTCATGTATGTTGTATGTTGTGTCATGTATGTTATAGGTTGTGTCACGTGTATGCGAGAGTATACAAGTGGTAGGTAGGTGACCTGACAGTGATCTCCTATCACACTTCACATACACCTTATGCCCCCAACGTAGTCTACTGTGTATAGCGCAACTGTATCGTCAAGTAGATATGTCATATCATGCATGTGCGAGAGTATGTAAGTGATATTCTATGCCCTGGCTGTGTCTCTACCCCTTCCTTCTGTATTTCTTCGTCCTCAGAATATCCCTTGTTCACTTCAACGTCTCATCTCGTCTGTTGTTTGTGAATGTGACTTATTTTCTTATTTTAACCTTCGACTTCCCATTTCGTCTGTTGTTTGTGAATGTGTCGTGTTTTCTTATTTTAACCTTCGACTTCCCATTTCGTCTGTTGTTTGTGAATGTGACGTATCTTCTCATTTTAACCTTCGACTTCCCATTTCGTCTGTTGTTTGTGAATGTGGCGTATCTTCTTATTTTAAACTTAGTCTTCCCATTTCGTCTGTTGTTTGTGAATGTGACGTATCTTCCTATTTTAACCTTCGACTTCCCATTTCGTCTGTTGTTAGTGAGAGCAGTCTTCCAGTCATGTAGACTCATCTTCTTTTGCGCATCTTGATCTGGGGCCTACTTACAGTTGGTACATCTCGCAGGCGATGGGTTTGTGGATGTCACAAGACATATGACATTCGGGAAGGTGAAGGCTATTACGGCGTTCTATGGCGATCTAGTAGTGGATCCGTATCTAGGGGAAATCAAGGATACGCACGATGCCAGTAACCATGGCGACAAAACACAGAGTTCGAGGAGCCGAAGGAGAAACAGAAACAAGAGACAGCGACTGAACGAGAAGGAGGCGGATGAAATTGGCCAAGCTGCAACTGCTACCGGTTCAGCGCAGCCGGACAAATCTATTAATAGCCCGGACGATGTGATTGGTGCAGCGCAGCCGTACAAATCTATTAATAGCTCGGACGATGTGATTGGCGCAGCGCGTTCGTCGGAGTCCGACTCAGACGGTTTGTTTAGTAGCTCGGTGCGGCCCACTGAGGCTGCTGCCAGTGCGGCTGAGCTGGCGGAGTTGGCTCTGGATGAATCTATAAATAGCGCAACCCTAGAACTAGAAACCCTGCGCGATATGGTGCTAGACGAGACCATCAACAGCGCCGTCCATGAGCTGGAGACGCTCGAGGATTTGGTGGCGCGCGCGCGAGCGTTTGCGGGACAAGACGCTGTCGCCAAGGAGGAATCCGACAAATCCGACAAATCCGACAAGTCCGACAAATCCGGTACGGGCGTGACCGAGGAGGTGATGTGGGGTACGGGCACGCTGTCTGACACGGATATGTACACACAGTCTGCGTCATCCACACAGAAGGCAGCGGATGCGCTGACCGGACAGGGCGGCGGCGAAAGCCCTGGCGACGATGTGAGCGATATCACCATCACGCACACACATACGCACACGCACACGCACACACACACACTTGAAGACGATGGAGTGGATGTGGCGGGTGCGGATGAGGATGAAGGTGTGCACGGCGGTCTTGAGCGTGATGAGATGACTGCGTATGGGTTTAGTGGGGCGCGGGTGATCCAGGACATCAACAGCCGCAGCCATGCAGCGTTGCACACGTATCTGGGGACGAGTGTGGGTGTGGTGTCTGCACCAGAGAGAGCGGGGGCGGGGGATAGCGACCGGGACAGGGGCAAAGACATCGGCGGTAACGGTGCGGGTGAGGGTGAGGGTGTAAGTGAAGCTGAGGATGGGCACGTAGTGGAGAATGGCAATGGCAAAGAAGATGAAGATGAATATGAAGACGAAGATGAAGGTAAATATGAAGACGAAGATGAAGGTGGAGGTGAAGATGAAGATGAAGTTGAGGACAAACACGCAGCTGTAATGGCAGTAGCCGACGGTGTAGGGAGTGACCATGGCGAGGCCGCGTATGGGCGCGGCTACTGCGGTCAGAGCGAGAGCGAGAGTGACGTGGAGGGCGAGAGTGGGCTGTCGCACAGTGTGTTTGAGGAGATTGATTCGGTGGACGACATCCCGTCGTATCCGAAAGTGTGTGGCAAGCGCATGAAGTTCAGTGACAGTGACGACGACGGTACAGAGGTGGCGGTGGAGGCGAACGCCAACAGAGGGGTGGTGGCTGGGCACAAGGCTGTGGGGGAGAGCACAGGAGTGAAAGGCGGCGAGACGGGGCGTGGGAGTGATTCAGGCGATGAAGAGGAAGAAGAAGATGGAGATGAAGATGGAGATAAAGATGAAGATGAAGATGAAGTAGACAGACAGGAGATTGGAGAAGCATATGTAGACGAACAGCTACGCGTTGGTGATAGGCAGAGCGGCAGTGAGGTCGATTCCGGCAGTAACAGTAACAGTGACGGTGACAATGACGGTGACGGTGACAGTGACAGTGACAGTGACAGTAGTATGCATGGAAGTGGGGGTGTGGGTGCAGAGTCTGAGGTGGAAGAGACACTGGACGACCTTCCAACGTATCCGAAGGTGTCGGTTAAGCGCACCAAGTTCAGTGATGACGAGGCTACAGGTACCCACCAGGAGGTGTGCGGAGCTCAAAGTACCGAACTTCCCGCGGCTGCAAGCGATGGTATTGACGGCGGCAGTGCTGAGGCGTCTGCGGCGGATGCCTCGAGCTCGGAAAATAGCGGTGCTGGACAATTAACGAGGCATCCCAACCGCACCGATGTGCCGCAGGAGATGGCGGAGCCCAATACATCGGATATGGTAGAGGGAGTAGGCGTGGCGCGTGAGGGTGTGCACGACAGTGAGGTCGAGAGCGAGTCAGAGTATGAGAGTTCCAGTGAAACGCTACCGGAGCCATACACAACGCCGATGTATATGGACTCGGCCCAGGGCAGCTCAGGTGTCGTGATGTCCATAGACACCAGCGTGCTATCGGTGGATACGAGCATACTGTCTATGCAGAGTGACTACGAGAGTGCCGAGGAGGGCGATGATTTTGTGCCCAGTGCCAGCGGTGTGGGGAATGGGGGCGGCCACGGCAGTAGCCAGACCACAGAAATAGTTGTGAGTCAGACGACCACGACATACACCAGCACACGTGCACCTGGCACAGGGCCTGGGAATATCCAGGACATTAAAGGGGTGCCGTCCGGAGCGAGGGGCGATGACGTATCAAACCCTAAACCCTAAACCCTAACCTATCAAACCCTACCGCTGTGCGAGTGCCCAGCTGATGGCCCCGTCCGCGGAAGGCAGTGGGGGTGGGGGTGCGGGGGATCGAATGAGTGCACGTTGTGACTTAGCTGCATGCGTGGTAGTACAGTCTACGTTGAGAAGCATTGTTTGTCTGCGGCTGAGTGTCGTGCGTGTGTCTTGTCTGAGCTGGGTTCACACGAGTATGTGTCGCGGCGTGTGCATGTGTTCTAACGCACGGCAAGGGAACTTGCAAAAGAGTGGGGGATGTGTGGATGCACTTAGGGATGGCATAAAGTAATCGCCAGCCGTAGGAGACACTACCCTCTCTTGTTACCTCTTGTCAGCTACCATCCTTGGCGGAGGTCTCTACCATCAGAATAAGCGTGTTACACACACGCAGGAGTGTACGACAATTCCGAAGGGTGTAAGTCAGATACATATCTTACTTACAGGCGGCTATCTGCGTGCAGGAGCGCTCCTTCCCTGTACCATGTAAACGACCACGTACCAAGCTCTCTGCGTCGACTGTGGAATCGTGTGGTCTCACTGTCCTTCAGGAATTGTCGTACAACTCTCCGTCCGTCTGACACTGTTGGGTTTCTCTAGGTGAGGGGGTTGGCTATACGCTACCGGCGTCCAAGTCAAGCCGTGTCCACACGCACGAGGACTGAGTGCACAGAGAGTGGTTGGGGCATATCTATTTTAGACTGCGGTTCGGAATGTGCCGGCGAGGGGGTGGGGCTGTTATAGCCGAAATTCGGAGAATTGGGAGCGATATGGTTTTGAGATGTCCTTGTACCACAGTTATGTTTCAGCAAATTGTATCGAATCGATGGGCTGTAATTAGTTTATCAGGTGAAAGGCGTGGACCAAATGGCCCTAAGTACAATTGCTTAGAATCGTCGGGCTAGCTTGCGCACGCACACCTCGGATGTCAGGTGAAGCTATCGTCTTGTTTTGTCTACCCCGATTGAGCCTCGATTTGGTATTGAGTCAGAAGGCGTACACTCAACTGCCCCACCTTTGCCTGCGTGGAGGAGTGGAGAAGGATGTCTTCTTTAAAGTCTGTTCCGAACTTCTTGTAGTAGCGTGCTTGGGCACGCTATGCTAAACCCTAAAACTTCAATCGCCCTCCCTGTGCGTGCGCCAATAAAACAAATCAGTGGACAACTGCGGTGGTGTCGAGTCACGTGCGACACTATCTGCACACAAAAATATGCGCTAACGTATTACTTCACTATCTACCACTGCCATGGTCATGTCCATGTGTCATTCGTGGCATTTGAGGGTTCGAACGATTCCGACACTCTTTGTCACCCTCAGTAAAAAGACATCCACGGGAAGGGAGCACAAGACTATGTAGATAGCGCTAGATTAGTCTGTCTAGCTGTGTTTCCAAGATGACAGTATCGGTTGTTATTCCGAGGGGCCTACAACACAACTCGCAGGAGAATCGGTGGGATGTATGGCGACTATTGAGCATGTAGTGCAGTTTTCGGTCTCTGTAGATGCGAGGACGACTGGCACACATGGCAAGCCGTTAACGCCGCTCTCTATATGCGACAAGGCGAATGCAGCCATACATTTGTATATTGGGTTGATTGCTGGTATTTATCTGATCGAGATATTGTGTGTTTAATACTGATTAATACCCAGCTGTAGTATGCCAGGTCAGTAGATTGCGTCACAAGTTGGTTACTCAACAAATCTGACACACATCTTTGCCTCCCAAGTAATCCGATGCACATATCCTGTATCAAGCAAATACCAAACACAAATAGGCAACGGGTTTTAGATTATATAGATACGTGATTTCGAGATACTCTATATGGATTTCCATTTCAAATTTCAAATTTCAAATTTTAATTGAGGCGGTTTGCAACTAAATTAGGTCTCACTTCAGCGGTGTTGTTTGGGCCGGATATTTAAACACAGCACAGTATTTGTGAATGGGTGGCTCCTCCTTTTGGCCAGTCCACACAGGGTTACTACTATTTTAGTATTTCGCTTCCAAACTTGCTGACAATTTTAAGGACCATGGTTTCGGTTAGATTTTAACGACTGTAACACCAGTGAGCAGTACCATACAAATAAATTTAAAACACTCAAAATAGAACAGACATATTAGAGATTCCTTGGCATTTACCATCAGAATGGAATTTGACAAGCCCCAACTACCGCGTTTCCTGACCGGTCAATACTAAGCCTCAATCAGCAATGATCCACAATCAGGGTTATTTTAAAACACAGATTATATAAAGAGCTCTGCAGGGGACACTGTTATTCGTCACACCATACTCATCGAGAATGCGAACCAAAATACACGTCGTGCAGCTATCGTTTTGAAAGCAATCACCATCTTCCGTGCTGCCCTATCTTCCCGTATGGTCAGAATCACTTCTGAATTATGGGCGAATATCTTGAGCGTTGTAATGGGGGTATTAGTATGGCAGTATTGGCTGGCTCGAAAATAAAAAGATATTCCTGAAGAATTCACCTTTAGAAAGCTGGAGAGAGCATGATGCGCCCCCCCCCCCCCCAAAAGAAGGAAATAAAAAGATTCAAGTCTGTAGCCTTTCCACAACGGAAGATGATGCAGTGATCGATGATCTGGGGTATTTAACCTCGGACTTAATTCTTATGTATCGAGGGTTATATATTTGAATATGTCATTTTTAATCTAGCGTTGGTCTGACTCTGCTATAGGTTCCAACTATGTGAGCTCATGATGAAGCGGATAAAATTGTAATTCTAAAAAATACTACAGATACAGTCTAGAAAATTGACGCGTTATTTATGGAAAATGTTTTACTTCAATGGAAATATTTAATTTCATTACATTCGTACACGAAAAGCT